TGGCAGTGGTTGGGTACTAATTTTGCGCAACACTTCCCCAAGTCCCAGACATTTTGCTAATAATTCAAATACCTATGATAAAATCTAACCGAAGAGTTTAGCGTTTATCATGATGTTAATATATTATTAATAATGAAAGCCTAGAAAAATTCATAGTATTATATAAGATAAAATGTTTATCAACCATACTATAAAAAATAAGATGACAAAATATTTTAAAATTATATTATCTTAATTATTTTCTTTAAAAATACTATAATATTTTAGTTTTTAAAATAAAAATAAAATTGTTTTATTTTTTAATAATACTTTATTAAAACAACATAATTTTAAATATTTTTTCACTTAAGTTTTTTATAATTCTGACTACTAAACATCAATCTTGTATCATATATCAAAAGACAACTATTTTACAACACAAAATTTTGGCGACTAACAAAAGAAAATGTGATTTAAGGCACTTTTTTTTTTGTAATAGTTTGACAAGATAAGAATCAAACTATTTATTAAAAAATAAGTATCGACTGAAAAAATTATGATGTGATTTTATTGTCTAACCACTAACCTGATCAGACCTTGATGTTGCTCTCCTTTTTGTGGCAGTCCGAATATTGCTTTGTAAAATTTCCCCAATGGAAATTCACTACTCCTTACCAATATAACCCAAACAGGATCAGGATTTGCCAATGTCAAGAAACTACAACTAAGGTGCTAAGACAATGTATAGCTCGATTCATATGAAATCTTGTTGCAACATCATTTTCAAAACCAAGCTATCAAAAGAAAAAAAAATGTCTAGAGGCTACAATACCAAAGTTTAGACACACCACGTTTTCTGTATTAAGACACATGTTCTGATAAGACAAGGTTTAAATATTGTCCTTTACACCACAATACCAAACCAGGACATGAAATTAAATACTAACAAGACAAAGTCACACAAGGAGTTCAAAAACTCTGAAAACTAGTTTTAGAAATCTAAATAATATTATAGGTGCCAAGAAAATTTGCTGCTTGCAGTCACTAAAATCCAGAGCCATATGACCTGTCAGTAAGAAGATATCAGGAACATGTAGAGATTGTATAAGAGATGTGTCCTTATGGGAAATATCAGAAAAGTAAAGTTGATCGAATCAGAGAATCCACCCACCATATTGAAGATCAAACTAACACCAGCTTTTATAAATATAAAGTATAAATTTCAGTCTTCTTTAGAGTCACCAACACTCTGCAGGTCATAAGGAATGTTTTAAAGGAGGAAAACAAAAATTGCAGGAAAATCTTCAAAATTAAAATTTAAGAAGTTACCACAACCTTGCACCTTATTTGATTTGATCGCAAGAGAGTTATAAAAAATGAAAAACAAAAGGAAATCCTTTGAGCAAATGAATACCTTTTTTGTGAACAAAAGTTGTATTGTAGAGTTAAGACCACCTTCCCAACATCTTTCATCTTCATCATCTCCTGTTAATTTCACTTTATGCAATTTTGGCATACTTACTTCTCCCCCAGAGAAAGTCATCATATATGGACATGCCATCACAATTGCATCTTCCAAAAATGTGAATTCAAAGTTGCAATTACCTAAACAGAAGCCTTCAAGTCTCGGTAAACCTTTAAGTTCCAAAGACTTCAGTTTGGTGCAAACAATGCCGTCCTTCAAGTTGGCCCCTTCTTCTGAGATGACTTGCTCCAGCAGTTCACAGTTTTGTACTTTCATCTTTTTGAGAGAGACAAGGCTCAATGCCATGGAAAGAGTTAACAAGTATCTCAAGTTACCACAATTACAAATTTCTAGAGAGCAAAGCCATCTGAAATTCAAGATCTCTTGAGGTTTCTTGCTCCTTATTCCAATCAACTCAAGAAACTGCGAGAGTCTCAGATGCTCTACCACAGCATATCCAACCTACAAAATTCAATATATTGCTAGTTATTACACAAGAAATCCAAATAAATTCGTAGAGGGAAAAATGAAAAAAAAAAAGGAAACAGTAGCTTCTAGCTTGCATTTTATGACATGACTAACAAAGGGCTATCAACCTAACCCAAGCTTTTGTAAAGGATAAGTTCAGTCATGAGTCTTCTTTAGTGAGTTGCCATCAGCACTTGAGGCACAACATTGCAGGAAAAAGTTTTCAAGCTAAAAATAATCAGTGGAGTTTATTGTTATCATCTACCATGTTTATTTGATCCAGCCTGCAACAGGACAATCTAGTAGAAGGAAATAAAGCTTTCGCAATGAAAAATATAAGTATATCTTTTGAATTAGTGAATACCTTTTCCGCAAACAATTGTTGTATTGTAGGGTTAAGGCCACCTTCCCAACATTCTACACCTTCATCTTCTGTGAATTTTACTTTCTGCAGGTTATATGTATTTACTTCTCCCCCAGAGAAAGTCATCATATTTGGACACCCTATCACAATTACATCTTCCAAAGATGAGAATTCAAAGTTGCAATTCCCTAAGCAGAAGCTTGCTAGTCTTGGAAGACGTTTAAGTTGCAAAGACTTCAGTTTGGTAAAAATAATGTCATTCTTGACATCATCATCACCATGCCATATCTCCTTCAGGTCATCATTCTCCTCCACTATCAGTTCTTCTAGATTGGGGAATGTAGCCTGAAAATTAACGAAAGAATTGAAAAAGTACACACCTAGAAGGATGAAATGTGTATCTGAAGTACATCCCCTGCTCATTTGGCAAAATTGAGATTCGAAAACCCTAATGCTCTTGAGTAAATTCTCATATCTTTCCACTTCTCCGCTTACTTTTTAATTATACACTAGTAAAAGATATTCAATTTAAAATGTCATAGCTGTTTATACCTTACCGACCCAGAACAGAGGGTGTTGAGTTTGGATTTCAAGTTGCTTCTCTCCACTTGTTCTCAGAATTTCTGAAGCTAGTATCTGCACTTTATCACATCCAATCATGTCCAATTTTCTCAATGATGGCCATTCTGTAGTATGTATTTGAGTGTAGAAACTCTTGAGATTGGGTAGCCAGCAAAGATCCAAAGATGTTACTTTAGGAAATACAAAATTAGGGGTTGTTTCCACCAAAGCTGATTGAGCAGTTATTTGTGCTTCTGATTCATCAGCGTCTACGTCTAGTCCTTGAGGTTCAAATATTTCTTCTAGTGAAACACAATTCCCTATCAGCAGCACGCCTAGCTTTTGTAGCCTCCCTACCATATTAACTGGAAAAATATTCACTAGTTTTTCACAATATGCTACAATTAGGTGATTTAGTTTGTGGAAGGAATCTTCATCAAGTTGTTCATCCCATATCTTGATCAAGCTCCTCATCTCCCCAATTACAAGCATCTCTAAACTAGGGAATACCACCTAAAAAATTGAATTGATTGCATTAATAACTAAATATAATTGAAGACAAGATGAATGAAAATAATGAAAAAAATCTGACAACTGCTTAGGAGTCAGAAGCTTTTTTTTTTTTTTTTATCAGCAGTTAGAAGCTTATTTACTAATTAAAAAAATAATTGAAATAAAATATTTTTATATATTTATTATTTTTAAAAATAAAAAATTAAATGTATAAACTAAATTCCTCACAATCATTTTAATTTAGAGGAACATAAAACAAAGAAATGGAGCGGACTCCATTAATGAAGAAATAAGGGAGGTTGCCATCTTCCCCTTGCTCTTCTCCCCTTCCCCTCCGAATACATCAATCCAAACACATTATTAATTCTTCCATCATGTTTGAACTTAATTATGGATAATTATTACAAATTAATACATTAGTCTCTATAGCTTCCTTCTCAAAGTGCAGGACTAATGACGCACACTTACTTCAAAATAAAAAGGTTATGGGAAAAAAAAATTTCAAAAACAAGGAGAGAAAAGGCTTTGGAAATGTTGAAAACTTAATTATACTAAGTTCATTAAAAGAAATGAACAAGGCGAAAACTAAAAGAATAAATCACCTTTGTACTGAAGAGAGGTGGTGTATAAGTATGGACGTAATCCTCCAAATTCTTTTCTTCTACTCTTTCATTGGCCTTCTGGTTGCTTGTAATAGAATTGGAGATGAACATCTCCAACAGAGGGCATTGCTTGACAACAAGTGCTGTCAGGAAGGGGAACGCTAAGGAATATCCAGAGCAGAATCTTTTGAGTTTGGGAAGGCCTTCAAGTATTAGTTCTACAAGATTTGGGAACGAAATCCTTTCTTCTTCTGCTAATCCTTCTGTTACTATTACCTCCTCCATCATTGTACAATCACGAATTATAAGAATTTCGAGAGCCACAAAACTTTTGATCGTTGAGGATGTAAATAGATATTTCAAATTAGTACATCCTCCAAGAGCCAAGAGTCGTACAGTCTGAACAACGGAAGACATTGTTGAAAGTTGTTTCGGGAATATTTGTTGCATGTTCAATGAGGACAGTTTCAACTGCACAAAGTTGGAAAATTGAACCTGCAAAGTGTAGACATTTAATACTTAAAAAAAAAAAAAAAAACCAAAAAACAAAACAATGTATCACATCATTGATTATAAATCAAGTTATTCCTGAAAAATCAATGTATCACATTTTATATGCCTCAATATGTTAATGATTTACACATAATGTCTTTGGAAAGGAATAACACTACTTGCAGGACATCATGCATTACTACTGTTACAACTGCTGTTTGAGGTGGCCTATCGTCCAACTCAGTTCTGTGGGGGTTAATAATGCTTAATAGATTTGTTCATTGAAATCTAAGTAATTTTACTTCTAAGAGGAGATGTGCCGTCATTCTCTTGTTGATCTCTAGAAGTATTGTGAGTGAAAAATGGGTTTAAGGGAAGTTCACTAGTATTCGATCTTTTCTGTGGAGTGATGTTTCGAGGATGAGTAGATCAGTGTATGAGGAAAGCATGAGAAT